GTATTGTTTTTTGACAAACAGCATCTTTTTCTATGGTCATCAACCATTTGTATTTTCATGCATGGAAACAGGTCCGCAACTAAATTTTCAGACCGAGATTGCTGTCGCGTCGGTCATGCGCATGCGCACACGCTACAAAAATAATTAATGGATGGTGGAAGTCATGAAAAAATCTGTTAATTAAGTGTTAATTTACGAGTATCTGCACAAAATACTCAAGAAATAATGACAGGTAAGTCTTATATATTTGTTATGTACGTATGTTTTTACTAGATAATGCTTCCAATGACGTACATCGGGTTGGGAATAATTTTTTCACTCTGTATGAACGCGTTAGAAACGGGTGAACACGTATAAAATCTGCAGAGTCATCAGACTTAACCCACTCGCAAAAAACTGAATAAACTTGCACAAATCGGTTTAAACTATATTAAAGTGTGTCGTGAAGGTACTTTTAAGACTCCCTCATCATCTGTTCTGTTTTTTATGGCGTGGAATTTTAAGGAAATTGGTAAATTTTTGTGGTGCAAATATAAATTCACGACCTATTTTAGCCGAAGCATCAGAGGTATCTAAAGACTTTGAAAAATCAAATAAAAGCTGAAAAGTTAGTTACTACATTATTGTGAATGGTTTGTGGTATTATTTATAATTTTCAACTGAATAGTTTTGATGCTATGATCTTTTGAAAATGGATGAATTTTCCCCCAAATTTATCTGTTTATAGGAAAAGAGTCAACTCGGCCCTATACCAACTTGGCACGGGTCAACTCGGCCCACTTTACAAATATATATAACATATTAACTTTGAATGTTGTTAAGGTAAATGAATAATGAGAAATATTATTATATAATTATACTTCTGCCGAAATAAGTACACTTAGATTTTTTTTTATTTCTTTGTCTTGCAGATTCGATAAAATTAATATAGATCGATCTAATCAAAATGTGTTTCCTTAGAGGCATTTTGTTTGTAAAAGTAATATTCAAAAAAAAAAATGAAACAAAAGCGTGTTAACTTCATATCATAAGCTTCTAAATAATTGCAGGTGGTCACTAATCAAATAAATGAAATATGAGTCAATCATAATTATCACCTGATTAATTGGTATCCTTAACATACATATGATTGATAATAATAGCCTGTAACAATAAGAGGTTAATACACGGCAGGAGAGGGCCGGAAGGTGATAATCGGCCCGCAAAATGAATAATGGACCCGAGGGCTTTAGCCCGAGGGCCATTATTCATTCAGGGCCGATTATCACCTTCTGGCCCTACTCTGACGTGTATTAATGTCTTTAATACACTTGGTAAATCTAATAGATCTAGTAGCATTTAAAAAAAAACAAAAAAAAAAAACAACAACAACAAATAGGATCTACTTTTGAAATTCTTGTCTACTGTACTCTTCTACTGTTCTATACAGAGATGTTTACTGTTTGTGTGTTCAAAGCAGTAGAATCTAGAAGCAAGTTTTATTTTCATTTTTTTTTTTTCGGAATGAATTTGTCGTATTATTTCTTCAAATTTCAATAGTAACAAATATGTGTTTGTACTAAATACGCTTAAGCTCTCACAATAAAAAATAAAGCGTTTCGTGCTGACAACCTACTTTCACTTTCACAGTTAACTGTTTGATGACGTAAAATATGACGTCATTGTTTCAGTTTGTGCACGTGCACATGTTCTGCGGGCTGATAACTAGTTCTCGGCCCCAGGCCGCAAACTCATAATAGGTCACGTGACACTCATAATCAGTTGAAATCATAGGCAATTTTGTTACTATATATAGTAACAAGTGTATTAATATATATTCTTACACATTGTTTGACACTGAAGGTATTTAAGTCAGAAATACAGTGAGATACGCAATCGGTTATCTTTACTCACAATTCTACTGATAAGAAAAGCCTGTCTGCTGCTAATTCGGAAACTGTCAATAGGTGTTTTATAAATAATTACAATAATTACAATAAATAGTGATAACACAAACCTAAATATAAATAATTGAAAAGTGGGCCGAGTTGACCCGTGCCGAGTTGGAATAGGGCCGAGCTGACTCGGGGGCCGAGTACGTTTTAGGGCCGAGCTGACCCGGATTCAATTTATATTTTTTCATTTATGCTATAAGTTATATACTGAACTTCATTTTAGAATTAGTTTTTCTGGTGTTTTTTTTTATATTTACAAATACTGTAGTCTTGTTAAATTTAAAAAATGAAAATATCAATTTCATGTTCACATTATATTTTGCACTCGTAAATTCTATTCTATGCCGGTACAAAATGAAATTATTGGCCTTTTAACAATTACAATTATATTTAATAATGTAGAGTAGGCCTATTCATGATCATAAATTCTGTTAAGAGTTAATAAATTTAAAGTTGACAGCATTATTAAAGCTACATTAAATAAATATGTAAAAGTATTTTTTGCCGTCGGCCTAAAAACCAAGCATTCTATAGTTTTATTAACCTTTTAAAAATCTCATCAAATATCGTTCATAAATTAGGATTTTAAATGGAAAACCCAGAGGTAACACTAAAGTTCGTATACGAATTTTAACATGCAAATGAAGACTATAATCAGCTTGTGTATGCGCTACGTCACACTCACGGTGTTATAGTTGCTATCCGGAACACAGCAAATATAAGATTTTCTTGTGCAAACACACTTTTACCGTTTAGTTTGGCTTCACGGTGCACGAGGCCTGTGGTTCAGAAAAAATAATCATCTCATAAAAAAAATTAAATTTGTATGAAAATATTCGTTACAATGCGGAAATATACCAATGTTAAATTAGGACTGTACTTATAGTCATGTTTGTTAGCTCGACTTTTTTTTTTTTGAAAAAAAAAGTAGAGGTATTGTTATAGTCAGGTTGGCATTGCCGTTGCCGTCTCCGTTGCCGTTGCCGTCCGAAAACTTGTACCTGGATCATAACTTTTTTATTTCTTGGTGTATTGTCTTCATACTTGGCCACAACAACCCTTGGGACAAGACCTTTCAGTAGACCACACTAACCTTGACCTTCATCCATAATGACCTTGACCTTCAAGGTTAAAAGTCCAATTTTTGCTTGTTCATGCTGTTATTGGCTGTTACTTTGTTATTTTTGAATGGATTGTCTTCAAACTTGAACATAATAATCTTCAAGGATATCCCTTAAAAATAACCAGTCAGACCTTGACATTCACTCATCAATGACCTTGACTTTGAAGGTCAAATTATTGAAAATTTTTCATTTTTTTTGGCTATTATTGGCTGTAAGCCTGTAACTTTGTTATTTTTGAATGGATTGTCTTCAAACTTGAACATAATAATCTTCAAGGATAACTGTTAAAAATATTACCGAAAGACCTTGACCTTCACTCATTAATGACATTGCCTTTGAAGGTCAAATTATTGAAATTTTTTCATTGTTTTGGCAGTAACTGACTGTAACTTTGCTATTTTTGAAGGGATAAACTTCATATTATAACAGAACATTCTTAAGGACCAGACCTTGTTTGTTTATCAAACCCAAATTTGCTTGGGCTCTTTAATGACCTTGACCTTGAAGGTTATATTACTGAATTTTCTTCAAATTGTGCATTTATCGGTGTGTGTGTATGTATAGTATATGTATTATATATAATATATATATATAAATGTGTGTGTATATATATACGTATATGCAGGTATATATATATATATATATATATATATATATATATATATATATATATATATATATATATATATATATATAAATATATATATATATGCATGTATATATATATATATATATCTATATATATATACATATATATATATATATCAAATATATATATATATATCAAATATATTTATATATATATATATATATATTCAAATATATATATATATATTATATATACATGTATATAATTGCGTCATGTTTTTCTATTTTTTAGAAATTGCGTTATTTTTTCTATTTTTAGAAATTGCGTCATTGTTGCTATTTTTAGAATTTGCGTCATTTTTTTTCTATTTTTAGAAATTGCGTCATTGTTGCTATTTTTAGAAATTGCGTCATTTTTTTTCTATTTTTAGAAATTTCCTCATTTTTGTTCTATTTTTAGAAATTGCGTCATTGTTTCTATTTTTTGAAATTGCGTCATTGTTTCTATTTTTAGAAATTGCATCATGTTTTTCTATTTTTAGAAATTGCGTCATTTTTTTTCTATTTTTAGAAATTGCGTCATGTATTTTCTATTTTTAGAAATTGCGTCATTTTTTTCTATATTTAGAAATTGCGTCACATTTTTCTATTTTTAGAAATTGCGTCATTTTTTTTCTATTTTTAGAAATTGCGTCATTTTTTTCTATTTTTAGAAATTGCGTCATGTTTTTCTATTTTTAGAAATTGCGTCATGTTTTCCTATTTTTTAGAAATTGAGTCATTGTTGTTATTTTTAGAATTTGCGTCATTTTTTCTATTTTTAGAAATTGCGTCATTTTTTCTATTTTTAGAAATTGTGTCATTGTTGCTATTTTTAGAAATTGCGTCATTTTTGTTCTTTTTTTTTAGAAATTGCGTCATTTTTCTATTTTTAGAAATTGCGAAATGGTTGCTATTTTTATAATTGCGTCATTTTTTTCTATTTTTAGAAATTGCGTCATTGTTGCTATTTTTAGTAATTGCGTCATTTTTTTTCTATTTTAGAAATTGCGTCATTGTTGCTATTTTTAGAAATTGCGTCATTTTTTTTCTATTTTTAGAAATTGCGTCATTGTTTCTATTTTTAGAAATTGCTTAATTTTTTTCTATTTTTAGAAATTGTGTCATTTTTTCTATTTTTAGAAATTGCGTCATTGTTGCTATTTTTAGAAATTGCGTCATTGTTGCTATTTTTAGAAATTGCGTACTGTTGCTATTTTTGAAATATGCTTAATGTTTCTATTCATATATATACAAAATATATAAACAAAACTAATGTGACAAGACAGACCAACTAAATTTATAAAAAGGAAACATCAATATATGTTCAAACCTTATGTTTGCGTTTAGAAAAAGTAAAAAGTCGAGCGTTGCCCCCGCCCGGCGGTGGCTCTTGTTGATTTAATATTGATGTACGGATGATCCGAAGGCGAAGTTTCTCATGCAAACAGAAATTGTACTTTCGAATTCGCCACAATGAGGTTGCACATTTTTATGCTCATTAAACTCATTTTGGTTGTCTGGACACCAAAATAAGATCTGGAGTCGATATGAAACCCAATTTATTAATGAAATGTCACTATTTCTTTTTTATGAAATTTATTTAATGTAACTTTAAAATGATTAATTATAATGTCAGCTATGCGGAGAAGACAGACAGACAAACAAATTGGATAGTGAAATGTATACCTTTACTGTAGTGCCTAGCGGAACTTTTTGTCACTGTTTTCCTCTTGACTGGCATGTTAAAGACGTCTGCAGCGGGGACAGTCAAAAAAATGAGTCTGCTCAAGACAATAATTTGACAATCAAAATTTTAATGACAAATGAATTAAATGTTTTGATACACATATGTATGTGATTTAAGTATGTCTTATTGTGTGGGAAACTGCCAGACAAATAGTCCAGCCCAGGGTGTAATTGTATGATTAAATGATGTAAAGGGGCCAGCAAAATCAGAATTTTGTTTATACACACTTTAACGATATATAGTAAGTTCTTGAACTTGTGGACCACTTGTCCTTACAGACTGGGGGACAGTCTGTGCACTAACAACAATTTATTTTATTGTCCAGTCCTGAATCAGTTGGTAAATGGGCTGATTATGACTTAATAGTCATGTAAAGCAGGCATTATCTAGAAATATGTTTCATGAAAAGAGCTTTTCCATGTGGATAACATCTCGAAAGTAAAATTCTGGTTTAAACATATTTAAGCTCTATTGCTAAACAAGACTAGTTCTTGCAACTTTTGAGACTGCTTATGAAGAAACATGGTTGTGACCCATGATCCCTGGGTTAACATGAGGCAACTGCTCTCCTAATATCCTAGATAATTTCATTGTATTCAAGGGCATGTTCAGTGTTCAATGAAAAACTTATTCTTACAGTTTCATAATGAAAACCTTACTCTTATAACTTTCTTTATTACTGATCCACTGGCATTGATTGCAATATTGATGTATCCTGTTGATTTTATATTATATTATTAGAATATAAGAATATTATGTACATTTGTATTGCAGGTTGATTATCAAGTTGACAGAAATCATTTGGTATGGTCTAAAGTTTTCATAATGCCAGCCCGAAAGAAGTCAAGAATTGGCTATAAAAAGAAATACTCTGTTCCATCCGGTTCCGCTCGCAAAAAGTCTCCTATATCGAAGATTGATGGTATGTAATCCACAATTTGAATTTTATCATATACTTTTAAGGCCCATGATGCCAAATAATGCCTCTTGCTATATTTTTGATATTTTTTCAGGGAGAAGCATTTAAAATGCTGTAAAACCATTAATTTTATGATATTTTATGCAAAATTATTATTCAAAAACACATGATTCAAATTAACTATTTACTAGTCTATATCTGTGCATATTACATATTGGTTATGATATTTTTCTTAATTTAAATATATAAATAATCTTTAACATAGCCTATGTACTTATTTCATTCGGTATTTCTTTCAAGTTATAACACAATTGGCTATGGAAGTTCCAAACTGGCCTTGTGGATAAGTAGAATAGTAAGGCAAGGCATATTTCATATTAAGTTGAATGATTTTTAAAGTATGGTAGTCATTAAATATCATCATGCGATATTGATATATGTATGATCATTGATATTCAACAATCTATACAATATTATCAATGCACAACTTATGATATCTAAACTATAACAGTTAAACTTGAATGAATATGCTTCATTTCTTGCAGATGCAGCAGAATCAGATGCGTTCTTCTCAACTCTGTTTGACGTCTTTTTACCAGACGAAATTTGCTCTGTTGATGTAAATAATGAGTCGAGTCCTGTGGAATATGTTGACAGTGACGGGTCCTCTGCAAATGAATTTATAGTTTGTTTGGATAAACCGTATACATACTCACCAGATGTTGTACTTGAAGACTTCATTGCGAGTCAGAAATGTCGCATATTTAGTCAACTTCGGGATAGTTGTAAACACGATATAAAAACAGGCAGTAATTTTATCTACATGACAAATTCATCAGATATAAAGTATGTCGAACTTTATGATAGCAACGACCATTGGGAAATACCAAGAGTTAAGACATGTGTAAGGGTAAACAAAGAGTTAATGGTTAATATCATGGTCCATGGCAAATCTTTGCCTGACAGTCATAGTATTTATGAAAAGATTGGAAGATGTTGTTATTCTGTCAAGCGTGTTCAGAAAGCACTTGATGTTGTTAGTCAATACCATATTTGTGAAGGGAACCAGGACTCTGATTTGCAAGACCTTATTCCAGTGAGAGCTTTTATTGATGTGTCGGAGGGATATAAATATCAAGGTTACCGTGAATCTTTTTACGTCAAGTCAACAATAAGATCAACAAAATGTGATTTTTTTGTAAGAAAGAATGGAGGGCGATGTGTTAATTGTCAGACTTACCGTAGAACACTGCGCAAAACACTTCATCGTAGATCAGGTACCCCTAAAGTATGTACATCACAGAAGGATTGGACTAAATGTAAGACATCTAATAAAAACTTGACAGAAAATCAAAAACTACACAAAATCAAACAATTTAAAGACTACAGCCAGCAATTAGAATTGGAAAATGCACAGTTAAGACGAGAAATAACAAAACAAAATAAAACTGAAGGTGTCCGCATATCAGAGGGAGAAAATAAAGACCTGTCGGAACTCGTGCAAAGTTGTGAAAAGGAAATGGAAAAAAATCACCCTGATGAATCTTCTTACCAGCGTTTGTTTTGGGAGCAACAACTAAAGTGTTCTAAACTGAAAGATAAACATGGTATGCGCTGGCACCCATCAATCATCAAATGGTGCATTTATTTAAAAAGTAAGAGTTCAAAAACTTATGACACTTTGAGAAATTCTGGTTTTATTAAACTGCCGTCGGAAAGAACCCTGTTTGACTACACCAACGCAAATGCCAAAGGAAAAGGATTTCTTGTTTAATTATCAACTGATTTTTTTTTAAAAAAATGAAGAATTACAAAAGTTTGATTTTACTAAAATTGTATTAACAATAAAAACTAGGATATAATATACCAAGTATAATATATCATTTGAAAGGTTATTAAATTTTCTATGTACATGTAAAAAAAAAAGTGATAAATTAAAAGAGATAATACTTTTTTTTTTATTAATAGTGGTATTAAGTCTAAAAACACAAAAAAAAACAAATACATTACAGGTAAAATTGGGCATTTTAGGGTATAAAAATGTCTGTATCTGTATTTGGGAAAAACTATCGGTTTTATTTGCTTTATAGCAAGTCCTTTGTAAAAAACACAAAAAGCCTGCCTTGAATTTTTGAAAAATTGGCCCATTTACTGTGCAGCAGGCATTTATCAGTCGGAGACTGAGTTAATGATATGATTTTTCTTAGAGGAAAAGCAATGCAAAACTTGAAAATTAATAAAATGTTTCAAATTAAATTTCAAGACGCGGTTTCTGCTGTTGTTTTTACATGTAATAAGATTGTGTAAAATTGTATATTTTGTTGTAATAATGGTTAAATTGTTTTTGTTACTGTCTCTACGGAGTAGTGGCGACATATAGGGATCACTTCTCCGTCGTCCATCTGTCACAAAACTTGTCCGGACTACTCCTCATAAACTACTGGTGCAATTTCATCCAAACCTTACAGGAATGATCAGTACCAAGTCTAGTTGTGCATATTGTCAGCATTTTCCGGTTCAATGATTTTTGTCAGAGTTATGGCCCTTTAATAATTTTTATTTTTAAAGTTTGTCCGGACTACTTCTCTTATACCACTAATGCAATTTCAATGAAACTTTACAGGATTGATCTGTAGCTCAAGTCCTTGCGCATATTGCACGGGTTTTCCGGTTGAATGATTTTTGGCCGATTTATGGCCCTTTGATAAAAAGGTTGTTTTTTTCTGTGTGTTGCCAGATACACAAAAGCTTGTCCAGACTACTCTTCATAAACTACTGGTGCAATTTCATCCAAACTTTACAGGAATGATCAGTACCAAGTCTAGTTGTGCACTGTCTGTCTGTCCGTCTGTCACAAAACTTGTCCCCACTACTCCTCATAAACTACTTGGGCAATTTCATCCCAACTTCACAGGAATTTATGTCGCCACTACTCCAATCACTTCTCTGTCTGTCACAAAACTTGTCCCAACATGAAATTGGCCATCATGAGGCGACACGTGATCGCTCATTGTTTTTATGTATGTTAAAAAATGTTCCAAAATTACCAGTTATATAAACTGATATTAATTAAATACATGTTCTTGCTCTTTTATTATTATAAAAGTCTTACATAGTCGAGTGTATTATGACAAGGTGACAGTACATAGTACGACCACTTCATAATTATATCAAATAATAAAGTACTGGGCATCAGAAATTATTATATTGTGTTCTACTATTTTAATAATTGGCTATTTCAATAATTCCCAATTTCTGTGAGTGAATGCAAAGGCAAAGTAGACCCTGGCCTAATACATGTATATAAGCTATTCCAAATGACATATTTTCTCATGGTCTTACCTTGGACATCCTGCTTCCCATGCTTTGAACGAAGATGACCACGCATTCCAGAAATTGAAGCGCAAGACTGGTCATACTCATCACACTGATACAAGATGTCTTGGTAACACTGACTTATCTTCTCCTTATTCTTATTGCATTTAGATTTATATTACTGTTCTACCTCAAAATCACTATCACTAAAATTATATTCACTTTCAGTAAAATCCCCTAAAACTACTTAAAGATGATTAGATCCTCGATATCTGAGAACTTAACAAAATCATCTTTACAGTATGCCATTCTGAACAACTTAAGGTCGCATGTGAAAAATGTACTAAGTAATAGAAACAAAATGTGTATGTGTTTGGTTTGTTTACCCTCGCCACCGGAATGAACCATATGGGCGAGCATATACTTCATTTAAAACATACTGTATTTTAATTTTATATGGGAACTAAAGTTAATTAGACTATACATGTAGTTTTATCGGTACTTGTGTTTACGTGTGTGCCATAATTCCTATCACAAGTTCGTATTACTCCCATACTAAGTTAAAATTACGTGTATTTATAGAGTGAACATCATATTTAAGTTAAAAGGGCAAAGACGTTTATAAATAGCACCGTCTCTTATAACAGGTCAACTATTATAATATACTATATTTAAAAAGGAAAGAAAATCTTTTTAAAGCAGTGTCAGGAAAGTAATTCCCCAATTCAATGTGGTAAATTCTTATAGGAACTAATTTGATCAGATACGTGCGTACACATTGGAGTGCCAAATTTATTAAAACAAGTTTGTTTTAGCATGGAAATGATAGAATTTGTCTGTTTATTAGAAACAAAAAGTGAAGTCTAATACATTTATATGTCTCATTCCATTTTTAAGAAGTATGTGTTTTTTTAGCTCACCTGTCACAAAGTGACAGGGTGAGCTTTTGTGATCGCTTTTCGTCCGGCGTCCGTCCGTCCGTAAACTTTTGCTTTAAATGACATCTCCTCATAATCCACTGAGCCAATTTCATCCAAACTTCACAGGAATGTTCCTTTGGTGGTCACCTTTAAAAATTGTTCAAAGAATTTAATTCCATGCAGAACTCTGGTTGCCATGGCAACCAAAAGAAAAAACTTTAAATATCTTCTTTTAAAAAACCATAAGAGCTAGAGCTTAGATATTTGGCATGAAACATCTTCTAGTGAGTGTCTACCAAGTTTGTTCAATTAAAAGCCCTGGGGTCAAAATTAGCCCCGCCCCTGGGAGTCATTGATTTTCCCTATATGCATATAGTAAAAACTTAAAAAATCTTCTTTTAAAGAACCGTAAGAGCTAGAGCTTAGATATTTGGCATGAAACATGTTCTAGTAAATGTCTACCAAGTTTGTTCAAATAAAAGCTTTGGGGTCAAAATTGGCTCGCCCCAGGGGGTCATTGATTTTCCCTATATGCATATAGTAAAAACTTAAAAAATCTTCTTTTAAGAACCCAAAGAGCTAGAGCTAAGATATTACGCATGAAACATCTTCTAGTGAGTGTCTACCAAGTTTGTTCAAATTAAAGCCCTGGGGTCAAAATTGGCCCCGCCCCGGGGGTCATTGATTTTCCCTATATGCATATAGTAAAAACTTAAAAAATCTTCTTTTAAAGAACCATAAGAGCTAGAGCTTATATTTGGCATGAAACATCTTCTAGTGAATGTCTACCAAGTTTGTTCAAATAAAGCCCTGGGGTCAAAATTGACCCCGCCCAGGGGTCATTGATTTTCCCTATATGCATATAGTAAAAACTTAAAAAATCTTCTTTTAAAGAACCCAAAGAGCTAGAGCTAAGATATTAAGCATGAAACATCTTCTAGTGAGTGTCTACCAAGTTTGTTCAAATTAAAGCCCTGGTGTCAAAATTGGCCCCGTCCCGGGGGTCATTGATTTTCCCTATATGCATATAGTAAAAACTTAAAAAATCTTCTTTAAGAGAACCATAAGAGCTAGAGCTTAGATATTTGGCATGAAACATCTTCTAGTGAATGTCTACTAAGTTTGTTCAAATAAAAGCCCTGGGGTCAAAATTGACCCCGCCCCAGGGGGTCATAGATTTTCCCTATATGCATATAGTAAAAACTTAAAAAATCTTCTTTTAAAGAACCCAAAGAGCTAGAGCTAAGATATTTAGCATGAAACATCTTCTAGTGAATGTCTACCAAGTTTGTTCAAATAAAAGCCCTGGGGTCAAAATTGACCCTGCCCCAGGGGGTCATAGATTTTCCCTATATGCATATAGTAAAAACTTAAAAAATCTTCTTTTAAAGAACCCAAAGAGCTAGAGCTAAGATATTTAGCATGAAACATCTTCTAATGAGTGTCTACCAAGTTTGTTCAAATAAAAGCTCTGGGATCAAAATTGGCCCCGCCCCAGGGGGTCATTGATTTTCCCTATATGCATAATTATAGTAAAAACTTAAAAAATCTTCTTTTAAAGAACTCAAAGAGCTAGAGCTAAGATATTTAGCATGAAACATGTTCTAATGGTGTCTACCAAGTATGTTCAAATAAAAGCCCTGGGGTCAAAACTGGCCCGCCCGGGGGGGGGGGTCATTGATTTTCCTTATATGTGTGTAGCAAAAACTTAAAAATCTTCTTTGGAAAAACCCAAATAGCTAGAGTTTAGATATTAAGCATGAAACATCTTTAAGTAAATATCTACAAAGTTTTGTTAAAATAAACGCCCGGGGGTCAAAACTGGCCCTGCCCCAGGGGTGACATTGTTTTTAACTATATGTGTATAGTAAAAACTTAAAAATCTTCTTTTAAAAATGCCAATGAGCTAGAACTTAGATGTTTAGCATGAAACATCTTCTTATGGGTGTCTACCAAAACTGTTCAAATAAACAAATAAAAGCCCTTGGGTAAAAATTGGCCCGGGGGTGGGGGGCCTATATACAGGTGAGCGACCTCAGGGCCATCATGGCCCTCTTGTTTTTATTTTAATTGGATAACCAGTTTCAACAACTGAGAAAAAGAGTGAAAACTATCACAATGGAACAATAAAAATGATGCACATTAAACGATTGAACCAATTACTGAATCTGCAGCAAACATCAATTATGACAGTACTTTTTTTTTTTAACATCAAAGGTTTATCTAAATAGATAAATAGGTGTTTGATGGGACAAATTGCCTTTGAAAGGTTCTGGGAATAAATACTTTAATGAAAAGGGCCTTTTAAATGGAAAAAACAACAACAATGTAATCCGAAAATGTTCTTTCAATTTTATTACAATACTTTTATCACCACAAATGTTTAGGCCATATTAATAAATAGCCATTTATATAGGGCCATATAACCTGTCAACGATCTTTATAACTAATAATATATAGGACTCAATGTAATAAAACTTCAATCTTGGAAATATGCAAGACAATTTTATCGCGCAATTTGATTTACCATGATTTGTGGCGTTAATTCGTCACGATATTTTATCCGCATTTTATTTGAATACGCAAAAGAAATTTAAAATATAAATAAATTTATATAGCTATAAAATATACGATTTTATGGAGATTATTTCACAATTCTCGGCCAAAAAATGAAGAAACAATAATATCTTGTTGCTATATGAAAAGATTTTTTGTGTGCAAGTCGCCATTTGGCTAGTAGTAAATGATGCGTTTTTTTAACTTGTTGCAATTCCGAAAATATTTTAGCTTTGTAAATAATAATTACACAGTTTAAAAGATCAAATTCTAAGCTTTCTTTTGATAGGTATTTTGCGAAATTCGATTAAAAATGATGAAAAAAATCTTATATTTGTTTGAAGAGGGGATCATTATTTTTACTGAAGTTTTGAAATTCTAGAATATGTTACTTTTAAAAAATTGAACAGAAAATAACATGTGAACAGTAATTTATACAAGCAAATTCGTTGAATTTATATCCCCCGCCAAGTACTGGTTATTACTAACACAACTAGACCTATCACTGAAGGTGATTAATACCCCCACCAGCAACTTTTTGAAAAATAAGTAGTCTGAAGAAAAATTTCAACACAAACTATCAACTGTGTACAAAGAAATATTTCAATTAATTGTAATCCCAACTGGGGTCTCCAAATAAGCATGCTTTTCACAAAGTTTGATTTCAATATCTCATTTCTAACTCTATTGTTCGGAAACCATTTTCTATTTTAGTAACTGTGACCTTTACCTTGACCCCATGGGGTCTTAAATAATGCAAAACCAATCGGGGTCTTCATATAAGCTTGCTATACACCAAGTTTGATTACAACATCTCATTCCTAACTTTAGTCATTGTCCAGACGACATTTTTCTATTTTTAGTAACGGTGACCTTGACCCCAGGGGGTCCAAAAACAACACCAACCCAGGTCTTCATATAAGCTTGCTATACACCAAGTTTGATTACAATATCTCATTCCTCACTCAAGTTATTGTCAGGAAACCATTTTTCTATTTTTAGTAACGGTGACCTTGACCCAAGGGGGTCCAAATGCAATACCAACCCAGGTCACCCAAGGGGGTCCAAATGCAATACCAACCCAGGTCTTCATATAAGCTTGCTATACACCAAGTTTGATAACAATATCTCATTCCTAACTCTAGTTATTGTCCGGAAACCATTTTTCTATTTTTAGTAACGGTGACCTTGACCTTGACCCCAGGGGGTCCAAATACAATACCAACCCAGGTCTTCATATAAGCTTGCTATACACCAAGTTTGATTACATTATCTCATTCCTAACTCAAGTTATTGTCCGGAAACCATGTTTCTATTTTTAGTAACCATGACCTTGACCCCAGGGGGCCTAAATGCAATACCAACCCAGGTCTTCATATAAGCTTGCTATACACAAAGTTTGATAACAATATCTCATTCCTAACTCTAGTTATTGTCCGGAAACCATTTTTCTATTTTTAGTAACGGTGACCTTGACCTTGACCCCAGGGGGTCCAAATGCAATACCAACCGGAGTTTCCACATAAGGTTGCTATATACCAAGTTTGATTACAATACCTCATTCCAAACTCTAGTTATCGTCCGGAAACCATGATGTGGACCGACCGACCGACAAGCTGACTCCTATATACCCCCCCTAAACTTCGTTTGTGGGGGTATAACAACTGAAGACATAAGGCTTTATTTATATATTTATCATGGCATAAACAGTAATATTCTTTGTACTTGATAAATATTCAGGGCAATAACAAAGCCATAACTCTGTGTTAATACTGCATAAATAATAAAGGGCCATAACTATGAGTTAAATTGTCTGACAGGAACAAGGCAATGATATGCGCATCTCCTCTTGGTATTGAAGGTCTCCATAAAGTTTGCTCTATATGCATACTGCATAACTAATCAAGGGCCATAACTCTGAGTTAAAGAGTCTGACCAGAACAAGCCAATGATATGCGCATCTTCTCTTGATATTGATGATTCCCATAAACTTTGTTGAATTCCAGCCAGTAGTTGCAGAGAGTAGCGCGTAAAACGAACATTGTTCTATATGCATACTGCATAACTAATCAAGGGCCATAAATTTGAGTTATAAGTGTCTGACCGGAACAAGGCAACTATATGCACATCCCCTCTTGGTATTGAATGATCCCATAAAGTTTCATTGAATTCCAGCTAGTAGTTACAGAGAAGTAGCATGGAATCTATTATTGCTCTGGTTGTATACTGCATAAGTAATCAAGGGCCATAACTCTAATTTAAAATGTCTGACTGGAACAAGGCGACGATATGCGCATCTCCTCTTGGTATTGAAGGTTCGAATAAAGTTTCATTGAATTCCAGCCAGTAGTTGCAGAGAAGTAGCGCGGAAACGAATATTTTTTATATGCATACTGCATAACTAATCAAGGGCCATAACTCTGAATTAAAATGTCTGACCGGAACAAGGCAATGATATGCGTTTCCCCTGGTATTGAAGGTTCCCATAAACTTTTGTTGAATTCCAGCTAGTAGTTGCAGAGAAGTAGCGCGGAAACGATTTTTGCTCTATATGCATACTGCATAACTAATCAAGGGCCAAAACTCTGAGTTCAAGTGTCTGACTGGAACAAGGCGACGATATGTGCATCTCCTCTTGGTACTGAAGGTTCCCATAAACTTTTGTTGAATTCCAGCCAGTAGTTGCAGAGAAGTAGCGCGGAAACGATTTTTACTCTATATGCATACTGCATTACTAATCAAGGGCCATAACTCTGAGTTAAAGTGTCTGACCGGAACAAGGCGATGATATGGGCATCTCCTCTCGATATTGATGATTCCCATAAAGTTTCGTTGAATTCCAGCCAGTAGTTGCAGAGAAGTAGCGCGGAAACGATTTTAACACTATATGCATACTGCATAACTAATTAAGGGCTATAACTCTGAGTTAAAGTGTCTGACCGGAACTAGCTGAGGATATGCGCATCTCCTCTTGATATTGATGATTCCCATAAAGTTTTGTTGAATTCCAGCCAGTAGTTGCAGAGAACTAGTCCGGAAACGAAATTCGGACGGATGGACGAACGGACAACGCCAAAACAATATCCCCCTCCCGATTCCATCAGCGGGGGATAATAACCAAGGTCAAATATCATATACCTTAACACCGTGTAATCGTCGATAAAAATCAATAACAATCTTCAGTCTGGATGGATTATCTGCCACAACAGCATAATTTACCGTTATTGATTTTCTGTTGCGGATACTGTTAATATACGTACCTGATGGAAAGAACGATAGCTGTAAAAAGAAATGGCCCAAATTTCTCAACACAGCAAGAAAACAAGACCTGTCCATGGACAGTGGGCTTCATGGTTAGTTTAAAATCAACATAGAAAAGGGGCATAATTCTGTAAATTTACTTAGCATTCTAACCTCCTCTTGATAGACAACACATAGTTCAAGTTTTGAAGTGAAAATTTCTTTTTTAGAAAAAGGCAAATTCATTTTAGCATAATTGAACAATTCTTGGTTCCTCATTTCAAACTAACCAGCATCATTGTCATATGAAGAAACTTTAGTTAAAGCAATGATTACAAATCAACTCTTTTATATTTCAAGCAACTTTATTTCAATATTTCACAATGACTATACATGATTTTATACAACACTATTTTTGTAACAATAGAAAAAACATAGCTTTTCTAAGCATAAACTGTAGTTAACATAATCTCCTGTCTCAAATATCAACTGTTCAATGCCTACACACAAAGTATGTTGAATCAGTAATTTGGTACAAGTCAATGTAAACAGTACATCAATAACTAGAATTCATCTGTCTGCTTAATTATTTGATAGACCAATTAATGGTTTAATACTTCAGCAATTACTCAGCACTAGTCAATGTCATTGTTCATTAAGAATGTTTCACCAGTTAATAATCAACTTCATATTTTATATAACTTTTTCAATCTCCCCCACTCCCTGACCCTGCCGGTGATGCTGGTGACCCTGATCTTGACCTCTGACCTGGACTCCCTGAACCTGACCTCTGTGACCCAGCAGGACTGGGTGACCTTGACCTTCCACTCCCAGATCTAGCTGGACTACCTGACCTTGACCTTGCTGGACTGCCTGACCTTGACCTACTTCCAGAGCGTGACCTTGATTTCCTTGAACCAGCTGAGCCAGACCTGTAAAAAAAAGATTTCAAATTTGTCCTCATCATAGTAAAACCTATGTAATCAAAGATACAGAAATATGTTTATTTACACAAGAATTTTTTTCTACCAAATAAAGATGGATTTGTTTGAAGTTTTAAATCAGCCTGACACATATATAACAAAAACAAAATGAATTTTTAAGGTATGAAGAGGGATGCCCTCAACTCCACATACCTAAGACAAGGAAATTAAGATAAAAATAAATAAATAAATAAACAAACTTTCTGCACATATTTGTATGACAAGTAAAAGAATTGTTCACATGACTTTATAAAAATCTTGACCCTTCATAACAAAAAGAAACTAAAAACTACTCACCTTGACCCACTCGCTGATCTTGACCTACTTCTGCTGACTGACCTACTTCCAGATCGACTTCTCGATCTACTTCCAGATCCTGACCTACTTCCAGATTGCGACCTTGACCTAGATCTATGTACTGAGCCTTCATCACTCTCGCTGCCGGACGACAAAATCCTTCGCCTTTTACCGACATTTCCACCTTCATCATCACTTCCACTATCGCTGAAAACAAAAATATCATAAAGAATGTGTACAACAACAGTATCGGTGCTGTATAAAATCTTTGTATCATAGTATTTACAAAATATAATTTCACAGTGTAAAATGGCCATCAATTGTGCTTTGAGAATTATACACAAATCAAAGGGAAACTTTTCCACTTACCCGCCAACGTCTATTTTTAGCTTTTCACCTTCCGAGTCAGACCCTTCACTAGATGAAATGGTTGCCTTTGAAACGATCTTTCTCCTCTGTTTAGCGGTCAGCCCGTCCTCATCAAGGATCTTCTTCTTACGTTTAGACTCTTTCGGTTCTTTCCGCTTCCTCTCACGTGGCTTTCTATCGCCTTTATCCCTAAAAAATAAGAAAACATTTAATTATATATCATTTTTCTTTTTATATCTAAACACATATATAGAACAGTATTCTCTTCAATTTGTATCTGATATAAAAGTATACACATAATTATATTTCAAACTCTTCAGAAACCTCGGTCTTTATTCAAAAACATATAAGTTTCAATAATACACGTGAAACATATTGTTTTGATTAATATTTTAATGGAATATACCAACTTTGTACAGTAGAACCTGTCTAATCCGAACTCGTCCGGACCAGAAAAAAAGTTCTGATTAGAAAGGTTTTTACTATTAAAAATAAAAGGAATAAAATTGGGACCGAACATTTTGTTTGGATAAGGAAGGCCTCCGGATTAGAAGGGTTCCGATTGGAAAGGCTTCGCTGTAGTAAGCTATGGACTAGACCATAACCCTGCCACATTTGACCTACAAACTTAACTTTGATTTTGAACAGTCTTATTAGTTATTAAAAGTGAATTTCAGCATCACAAAAGAGTTTTAGACAAACAATGTAATAAAGTCTCAACAGATAACATGATGTGCAGGCTGGCCAGATTCTTTGCTGGTGACATGGATCTGTTTTTTATTGCGACCAGAGGTCAAAAGGTTAAACAAAAAAATTTAGAGCTGAATAGTTATCAACTACAACTCATCACTTGTATTACAATGATGTTTTTAAGAATATTTTAGCTTTTATATTGAGATATAGGCCCGCGAGTCCAATTTGTAGCAAAACCAGTCTGTTGTTAAACCAGTCTTGCTCTCCATTGCTTAACGACAGTTTTTAAATCGGACAATGTCTATAATTAGCCAGTTCTGAACATAGAGCAATCAAGAACACAATTTAAGTTGATCATTTTTAAGTGAAATTTTTCAATTAAAGTACATATACTTGTAGTTTATTAATATCACTTACTTCCTTTTACGTTTACTTGACCTTTCCTCGTCATCACCGTCACTATCTGACCCGCTACGCGGTTTACGCCCTCGTTTCTTCTTGCTTCTAGGCCGTTCATCTTCACTTCCCTCAGACAAGATCTCTCCATCATCTGCTCGTTTTTTCTGCAAACAGTGCAAAATTTATCCAATCAAATTGTTAACGTTAATACGAAACAAAATTCCTATGCTTAATATATTTGCAGCCTGGATATGTCTTAAGTATGCAACCCACTGGAGTATGAATAGCTTTTGACATTGTGGACCATCAAACTGTCAATGAAAAAGGTACGCTGGGCCCTGTACCCAGTAACCAACACCTAAATCCAACCTTAGTCGATCTAAAAAGTTATGTTACACTTACAGAAAATTTTGCTGATGAGCTCTTTACTTAACATGAATATTACCTTTGACTTAGTCGACCGTCTCTCTTCCGGTTCTGGTGCGAGAGCAATCTGTTTCGCTTTGTCGACGTAAATCTGTCTCTTCTCCATCATCATCTTCGATAACTCTTCCTTCTTCTTCTGTTTCTGGAGCTGTTCCTCTTTGTATTTCTGGCGTATGGCTTCACGTTCCTCCTCACGATGTTTACGTAACTCCTGCTCTTCCTCGTCAATCTTCCTTGCACGAGCCACGTGATATTGTGCCTGACTCAACAAATCGGAGCACTGCCTGGTAACAAAATTTCAAAATGTAAGTTTTGGTAAATTTTCATTGATTTATTTGCAAATTTAAACTAAAGCTTGCCGGAACTTAAGTGAATCAGTCTTTACCAGCAGTATAGAGCCAGGCCAACCTGCGCAACGGTTCAGTCTGACTAGACTCTATACTGTTGACTGACTGACCAAATGTCTGCCTCTAAACCTAGGTTTTGCCTCTAGATCTAGATTACGGCCTCTAAACCTAGATTATGGCCTCTTAATCTAAGTTGTTGCTTCTAAATCTAGATCATCTAAAACTTAGGTCCAACCTAAAATCTATTTTCCATGTAGAATCAATGATCATGATTTTCTCTCTACAACATACAAATCATCTGATCCAAATAAGAAGCTCTTAGCATAGGACACAAACCGATACACAGCTCTCATCAACTTTACATAAATATATAAAATAAACTTTACCTGGCCTCAGTGGCAGCTTGGGCAAGATCAAACTTCATCCTGTCACCATGATGACTAAGGTAAGAAAAGTATCTGCAAAGAATATGGTAAAAATATACTATCTACCTTATAAATTGATTGTGTGTTCATTTGAGATTTGTTAATTTGATTAATCAATGTTTAAAACAAATTTCAGGCAGTCGGCGAACAACAGTTATTGGAATTTTTTATGAATCTTGTTTTTTAGCAGCACAAATAATTATAAACTGAAGTGAACTTCGAATGACATTTAAACTTACACTGAGGCATGACGATGTTTTAGTCACAAACCTCCATAAATCTAGGTACCAGTTTTCAAACTGTGTAAAAGTGTGTTCTCCCCTGAGTGCAAAAATGCATGTAACAATGTATAGAAATGTTGAATTATAGGAGGAAAAATATGAATGAGATCAAGTAACATAGTTGGCAGATCTATAGAACAATTTTTCAAGAGTTCTCTTTTCAAGTTCATGTTGTGTTGCACATTTTTCACACCCTGTTGAACACTAGAAATTTTACCTGTGGGCTAGCTCCAAATCTCTGACGGCAGACAATACAGTTTTTAAGTTACTTTTTTCATCTTTCAATATGGACGTCGCAAGCTTCTGCTGTACCAGGGCAATGTTATACAACAATACAGTATCACTGGGCGAGACGTGCCGTGCCTGAAATACATGTTCACATACTGTTTCAATATATATCACACTTAATGCTCAAGTCATTAAGGCTATCTAACTTAATGCTTAAAGAGACATTTTGCTCATTTTTGCATTGTCAAGTTGAGCTGAAATGACTAATAATTTCCAAACACTGACTGTTACAATGGTGATTGACCAACAGTTAATTTTGGAAATTGTTAACGATAACATATAAATCTACCTAAAATAGTTACAATGGTGATTGACCAACAGTTAATATTGGAAATTGTTAATGATAACATATAAATCTACATAAAATATACAAATACTGCCCCACTCTTTTAATAAATTTTGTTACAGTTCGATTCTGATGGATATTTACAGAAATTTCCTTGGGCAGGGTGAGTTTTTTTTGTCATTCATACTATGTAAATACTAAAATTGAAAGGAATTATGCAAAAATTTAACTTATTTTGACTTTCAACTATTAAGTCACTCATTACCCTTGGACTGGCATTATGTCACTTTAAGTTATAAAGGATATAATTATCAGTTATATGTTATTAGTTTTAAACCTTGGCACGTTTAAGTTTACTAGCGTTCAAAATTTACATTAAGTATAGATCTAGTTGCATTAATATCAACTGACAAAATAGAAGAAGTTGCATTAAAACTCTTTGCAAGAATTTACCTTGAGTAAAATATTTTTACATTCTCTCAGCTTTCCACATTTGTAGTAGGCCCTCGCTAAATAAACCATCACCTCTGTGTTATGGTATTTGAAAAACTTCTTCAGACAATTTTCGTACTGAAAAAAAAGTTCAGACATTTTTCATACTGAAAGAAAAAGTTCAGACAATTTTTGTACTGAAAGAAAAAGTTCAGACAATTTTCGTACTGAAAGAAAAAGTTCAGACAATTTTCGTACTGAAAGAAAAAGTTCAGACAATTTTCGTACTGAAAGAAAAAGTTCAGACAAATTTTCGTACTGAAAGAAAAAGTTCAGACAATTTTCGTACTGAAAGAAAAAGTTCAGACAATTTTCGTACTGAAAGAAAAAGTTCAGACAAATTTTCGTACTGAAAGAAAAAGTTCAGACAATTTTCGTACTGAAAAAAAAGTTCAGACATTTTTCATACTGAAAGAAAAAGTTCAGACAATTTTCGTACTGAAAGAAAAAGTTCAGACAATTTTTGTACTGAAAGAAAAAGTTCAGACAATTTTCGTACTGAAAAAAAAGTTCAGACATTTTTCATACTGAAAGAAAAAGTTCAGACAATTTTTGTACTGAAAAGTTCAGACAATTTTCGTACTGAAAGAAAAAGTTCAGACAATTTTCGTACTGAAAGAAAAAGTTCAGACAATTTTTGTACTGAAAGAAAAAGTTCAGACAAATTTTCGTACTGAAAGAAAAAGTTCAGACAATTTTTGTACTGAAAGAAAAAGTTCAGACAATTTTCGTACTGAAAGAAAAAGTTCAGACAATTTTTGTACTGAAAGAAAAAGTTCAGACAATTTTCGTACTGAAAGAAAAAGTTCAGACAAATTTTCGTACTGAAAGAAAAAGTTCAGACAATTTTTGTACTGAAAGAAAAAGTTCAGACAATTTTCGTACTGAAAGAAAAAGTTCAGACAATTTTTGCAGTTGAATTCAGGTGCCCCTCTGTGCATTATTTCAGGCATAAAAGGGCACTGATCCTTCAGTGAACTACCAACATTCCGTAAGCTAGCTGGATAACTTCCTCACATGAAAGAATCCAAAATTCCTGGCTGGATTCGAACCTAAAAAGGTGAGACTCATGTTGTTTAGAGTCAACGATCATAATCACTCAGCCACTGACAACTTTAAACAACAAACTTGGTGGACTAAAAAATGTATGCAAGTCTCACCATAATTACTGTAGGATATAAAAATAATACATTATATTACATGCTTTCCGGTGGTTTATAGAAATATATCAGTGATATAAAACTGGTAATTTCACTGTTTGAAACAGTGAAATTACCACTTTGATAATTTCACTGTTTTGAATTTAAGCCCCTTTCGTTGTTTCAGTGAAATACCAGCGTGCACAGAACTGGGTACCAACTTCATGATGTGACGTGGTAAATGACGTCAAGTTGTATTATTATTTGGCGCGCTTTTCATTGAGTATTAGGTTTAATGTATTTTTAAAACGTTTCTTTGCATATAATAAAAAGAAAATTTGTTTAGTTTAGTGTAAGATCGAAATATATTTCACCTTGTGAACACCAAAAGTTCATATTTCACTCGTGGCTGCGCCACTCGTGAAATATACCTTTTGGTGCTCACTCGGTGAAATATATTCCGATCTTACACCGAACTAAACAAATATCCTCTATATATCAAATCAAATTAATATTTTAACAATAATTATAATGCACTTTATTGTTTCAGTGCAGAAAAATAAACAAACCATCTGGACGGCTGCCACATATTGTTTCTGTTCCACGTAGATGTGAGCAATATTCAACCATACATCACAGAAATCTGCTGTAGCTTCTCGAACCTGGGCAAACACGTCTCTTGCCTCGTTTATACAGCCTTTATGTGCAAGTACACAACCTAATGATAGTAACATAAACAAATTTATGACACAAGAACATGATATAGATAGGCATAGACTCTGGCACAGTTTTTGGTTTTCCTTAAAAACATAATTGTTTTAGCTTGATTGTGAACCTATTTCTTACAACTTATATTTCATGTACATATATATTTCGTTTATTTTATATTACTCATTTTGGAGTGCACTTCCAGGAATTAACAAATACTGGTGTCATGTGAAAACAACATGGTGACCTCAGTAAGCCTCGAAGGGATCATCCAGGAGGCAGACTCAGTTACCACTATGTCACAGTTTATTTTCAGGATACTTGTTCATCATCTATACTACCTTTTTTTTATTTGTATCATTTAATTATCGTTATTATTATCATCATTTTAATTACTATTCTAAAAGGCACTTTATGCCCCATTTAATGCTTTTCAATTTTATTTTTCCAAAAAGTTCATTTAATATTTGGTGTCCTATTCTATTTACAGTTTCAAAAAAGATTTCAATTTTATTGGAGCATTTACCTGAACCATTTAGTTTGCTTCTGTTGCATTTGGCATTTAAAGTACCAGTTATAGAGAATTTAGTTATTTTTTTTGTTGTGAAGTCCAAAATATTCTTTATTTTTTGTTTTTACAGTTTGGCTTCCTTCCTCACAAATAATTTCATATATTCAGTTATTCAAGTATTTCGTATTATCTTGCTGTGCTACTTTATTTTTTTTAATTTTAAACATTAACTTTATTGTTGCCCTTAAACCATTATTTTAAGGTAATTATAATCATATTTGCTCTTCCTAAAGAAGGAAAATTTATTTCTTTCTGTGGCACAATGTGTCTTTAATATTATTACAAAATCTACTATCATGCTCATTTTATAATATCAAAGGGGAACCAAAAGCCACCTGTTCCCATCTAAATCCTTCAGACAAAGAATAAAATTCTCAACCAATCAGAAAATTCAAGCAAGAAATTCTAAACCAATGCAAGAAATTCTCAAGTAATGAAAATTCAAGCAAGACATTCTAAACCAATCAGAAATTCAGGCAAGAAATTCTGAACCAATCAGAAAATCAGTGTACCTACAGTTGTAAACAATGCATATGATATTCTATATTCAATCAAGAAAACATAATTTAACGAAATTCAATAGAAAACATTACCTATTCCATTGGCAGCCCAGATGTTTCTGTCATCATTTCTAAGGACTTGTTTATACATGGCCAATGCCCGATCTTGATGACGCTTTTGCTGAAATAACATTTACAATTTTCCTTTTCAATATCCTTATCTGTTTCAGTTTATTTACATTGTGTGCCAGATTGTGAATAAATATTCATTAATTGTTTGTTTGTTTTATGCTAATTAAACATATTTTAGGTCATATCTTGGCAACTGATACACCTAACCGGCTTTCCTGGATAACTAAGCAATAATTACTAATTTCTTCATAAGTGACTAATTACTTATAGCATATAAATCTTTTAATCAGAGGTGAGAGACAAATAATTATTACACTCCATCAATGTGCCTAGATCAATTGTGAAAGAGAAAGTATGTCTCATCAGTGAATCAGAAACAACAATACATGATTTGCATGTAAAACCTTCCATAGAAATATAAATAATATAACAATTTTTCTTTTACAACCTTTGTTCCCTACTACCATTTCAATATCTTAAAACGTAAATAAAAAAAATAAAATACACAAAGAACATACCTTATCTTGTCCTTCATTGGCATGTGTAATGTTTTGCAGCCAGACGTTACCAGGGCGATAAGAGAATATGCATCGTCCTTGGTCGCTGGTCGAGCTAAGATACGCTCAAATTTCTTCTGTCCCGGACCCCATTCTTGTTTGGCAAGATGAAGATTACCAATCAACGACCAAGCATCTGGGTGATCCTGATTTAATATAAATCAGATTATCATCTCTTTTTTAAGAAAAAAATCTTAAAAAGATATACTCCATGGCTGTAAAGTAAAAGTTAAAGGGACATCTTTCAATATTGTTTTTTTGGTTGGGCTTACAAGCTACACAAATGAAAAGGCAAAATGGTAAAAATTTTATGTGAGGTACTGTATAAGGAAGTGGGTATTGCCATGTGTCAAAAAGTAGCGCAATTTAAAATTCTAAACATTTTGTGTGTGGAAATATTAGCGAATCATGCAACCGTAGAATTTAATAACAGGTTGGTTCATAATTAAACTAGAGGGAATTTTAGCAATTTTCGCCTATTCCCAAAATTCGCCAATATTGTTACTAACTAAACTACTTATACAGTTTATTCATGGTATTACCCTCAGTGCAATATTTCAGGGAAAATTTGCTACTACTGGAGTATCAGCCACCAAATCTATGAAATTCTTTAAATAATTTGTCTTGAGATGACTAATAACAGGAGAGAATTAAAAAGCACTTTAGCTACAGAATTTCTCAAAAGAACTTGTCCAACTTACATTTTGAAGAACTGTCCATTATCAATTTTGGTTAAATCAAGAAGAAAATTTGTTAGGCAAACAGTAAAAATCCTGTTCAGACATGCTGGCCAGGCTGAATGTGAGTGGCAAGTGTTAACAGCTGTGTTCGGGCTTGAATTAAGGTGAGGCAAATATAAGAGGTAAGAACATGTTGAATGAAGTGCAGTAATGTTGTAAATTGGCAGTTGTTAAAATATTAAATTGATATACAAGATTCTGTTGTTAAATATTACTATTTAATTTTATTTAGTTAATTCACTCTTGAATCTGCTTTGTTTAACTAGAAAATCATGTGACAAAAATACCTGATTTATTTGTAAAGCTTCTTTAAACCAATCGGAGGCCTCGTAAATTTGTCCCCTATCTCTTGCCATACATCCCAGTCGTAAATAACCTGGTAAAATAATCAAAAATAATTTCTAATAAATTTATTGCAACAATTTTTACAAGATGGCAAACTTTTATAGCAACTTTTTGGGAAATGATCAGTAGTGAATTAATCAGTAGGAAATTTTTCTTCAATGAAAGATTCGTCATATAATTTCATTAAGAAAACCACACAATTCATCATAATTATCATACATTATAACATATTCAGATTACAACATTGAGATAAAGAATTTGGTACTTTGAAGCCTTTTAAAACTGCATAGTTAACAGCACTGAGCATGGTTTACCATTCTAGTAGCATGGAAATTGATTTGAATGAAAATATTGAAGAGGGTTTTGACCAGGTTATTATCAAAAATGATATAAAATTATGTCATTTTGCAAAAAAATTATAGCACACAATCTGCCCAATATTTTGTAAGTGTTTTTCATATACTCCTATACTAGGGGTTTTCACTCCAAAGATTATTAAGAATGTTGTCAGTTGCCCAAGATTTAATGTATTTGTTTACATACATCTTTTACTGAGTCAGTAGAAGTTCTAGAAAAACAGTATGATTTCTTACAACTGTCCCCAATTTCAAATGCATGTGAAAACACTGGGTGAGTACTAGCACAAAATATTTTTTTCTCCAAAAGTAGAACACATGAAGGGCAATGATGGCAAAAAGCCTCGATTTTTCAAAAACACGCCTTGTAAATAACTCACTTACAGTCGACATAGTTGGGATGTTCACGGAGGATATTTTTATAAAGTCTCTCGGCTTCGTCGTACTCGTGAGTAGCTTCGTGAAGACGAGCAAGATTGTACGTGGTTGTCACGGATATTGCACTAAAATACGTCTCATCATGCATAGCTTCAGCCCTCGAACGTTCTAATGATGCAGTGTAATATTTCTGTAAATAAAATAACTTTTTTATTCAATCTGTTTATACCCTGACCATCCTGACCTTTTATAATGGACTTGCCCTGTTTTGAATTAGAACAGTCCATTACATGTTTAAGGGATTTCGTATTTAAAAACTCTCTCCCTGATGTAATTGTATAAGGCTGACTGCAGCAATGGCATATTTTCCTCCTGAGAAAGTCGCAGGTTGTTTTGAAAATTGAAAAAGAAAATCTCTGTATAATGTATATGACATCATGTGTACATACATACCTTATCGTTTTTACAGGGTTGCAAAGGTTGCATCAGGTATGTGATTTCATCATCTAAATCAAAATACATAGAACTGAATACATCAAAATAATATACATCAACACTTACTTTAGCATCAGTTAGATTTCCTAATCGGAAATGCAGAGCTGCTACGTTGTTGAGTATCTCGGGCGGAACGTCTTGTTTGACCGTGTCTTTGAGAATACGAGTGGCTGTTCCGTATGCAGAAAGTGCCCCCTGGACATCAGACTGTTCAAGGATCTGAGCAAGCTCTATCCAGGCCTCCAAATCATCGGGAAATTGTTCAGTAACTTTCTTCAGATGTGCCTGTAAGTGATAAAGTTTTTAAACTGGAGATTAATATCAAAATTAATGGTATTATTGCTCTTTCATTTTTGTACTCAATTTTAATACAAGAGCGATCAGTGATCACATCGATCGCCTCATGATGGCCAATTTCATGTTGGGACAAGTTTTGTGACAGGCGGACAGACAGACGGACAGTGCACAACTAGACTTAGTAATGATCATTCCTGTAAAGTTTGGATAAAATTGCACCGGTAGTTTATGAGTAGTCCGGACAAGCTTTTGTGTATCTGGCAACACACAGAAAAAAAACACCTTTTTATCAAAGGGCCATAACTCTGTCAAAAATCATTGAACCGGAAAATGCTGATAATATGCACAACTAGACTTGGTACTGATCATTCCTGTAAAGTTTGGATGAAATTGCACCAGTAAATTATGAGGAGTAGTCCGGACAAGCTTTTGTGTATCTTGAAACACACAGAAAAAAACACCTTTTTATCAAAGGGCCATAACTCGGCCAAAAATCATTCAACCGGAAAACCCGTGCAATATGCGCAAGGACTTGAGCTACAGATCAATCCTGTAAAGTTTCATTGAAATTGCACTAGTGGTATAAGAGAAGTAGTCCGGACAAACTTTAAAAATAAAAATCATTAAAGGGCCATAACTCTGACAAAAATCATTGAACCGGAAAATGCTGACAATATGCACAACTAGACTTAGTACTAATCATTCCTGTAAAGTTTGGATGAAATTGCACCAGTAGTTTATGAGGAGTAGTCCGGACAAGTTTTGTGACTGACAGACGGACAGACAGACAGACAGACGACGGAGAAGTGATCCCTATATGTTGCCACTACTCCGTAGAGGCGACACAAAAAACATATGCACAACTAGACTTAGTACTAATCATTCCTGTAAAGTTTTGATGAAATTGCACCATTAGTTTTTGAGGAGTAGTCCGGACAAGTTTTGTGACGGAGGGACAGACGGACGTACCAACTTTTGACATTTATGAGGCAAATCAGCTCATAAAAACCACCTGGACCAACGTCCATAAGCAAAATTAGCTCATAAAAACAAACAAGAGGGCCATGATGGCCCTAGATCGCTCACCTGAATTATCAAACTCATCCAAACAATTACCTAGACAAGCATTCTGACCAAGTCTCATGACAGGTGAGTCAAAAATGTGACCACTACAGTGTTAACAAGGATTATCCATATTTGAGCAGTGCGACCTAGTTAGTTACCCAGGTGACACATATTCAAACTTGACCTAGAAATCATCAAAACAAACTTTTAGACCAATTTCCAGGATACTTGGATCAAAACAGTAGCAACTAGAGTGTTAACAAGATTTTTCTATTTTTAGCTGTGGTGACCTAGTTTCACATGCGATTTCGAACTCATCCAAGCAATTACCTAGACAAGCATCCTGACCAAGTTTGATGATAATTGAGTCGAAAATGTGACCACTAGAATGTTAACAAGGTTTTTCCATATTTGGGCGGTGTGACCTAGTTTTTCATCCAAGATGACCCATGTTCGATCTTGACTTAGAAATCATTAAAACAAACTTTCAGACCAATTAACAGAATATTTGGATCACAACAGTAGCCACTAGAGTGTTAACAAGATTTTTCTATTTTTAGCTCCTGTGACCTAGTTTTTTCATCCGAGATGTCCCATGTTCGATTTATTCCCAGCAATGACCTAGACAAGTTTCCTGACCAAGTTTGATGACAATTGAGTCAAAAATTGTGACCACTAGTGTTAACAAAGGTTTTTTCTATTTTTAGCTCCTGTGACCTAGTTTTTCATCCGAGATGACCCATGTTCAAAACTCATCCGAGTATCACCTAGACAAGCATCTTGATCAAGTTTGATGATGATTGATGCAAAAATGTGACCGCTAAAGTGTAAACAAGGTTTTTCTATTTTTAGCTCTGGTGACCTACTTTTTCATCCGGGATGACCCATGTTCGAACTCATCCAAGCTATCAACTAGATAAGCATCCTGACCAAGTTTGATGATGATTGATGCAAAAATGTGACCGCTAGAGTGTTAACAAGGTTTTTCTATTTATAGCTCCGGTGACCTAGTTTTTCATCCGAGATGACCCATATTCGAACTCATCCGAGCTATTATCTAAAACAAGCATCCTGACAAAGTTTGATGATGATTGGGTCAAAAATGTGCCCACTAGAGTGTTCACAAGGTTTATATATTTTTAGCTCCTGTGACCTAGTTTTTCATCAGAGATGACCCATGTTCGAACTCATCCAAGCAATTGACTAGACAAGCATTCTGACCAAGTTTGATGATGATTGGTTCAAAAATGTGACCACTAGAGTGTTCACAAGGTTTTTCTATTTATAGCTCCTGTGACCTATTTTTTCATCCGAGATGACCCGTGTTCGAACTCATCCGAGCTATCACCTAGACAAACATCCTGACCAAGTTTGATGATGATTGGGTCAAAAATGTGACCTCTAGAGTGTTCACAAGGTTTTTCTATTTTTAGCTCTTGTGACCTAGTTTTTCATCCGAGATGACCCATGTTCGAACTCATCCGAGCTTTCAACTAGATAAGCATCCTGACCAAGTTTGATGATGATTGAGGCAAAAATGCGACCGCTAGAGTGTTCACAAGCAATTGTGGACGGCCGGACGGACGACGGACATTCACCGATCCTAAAAGCTCACCCTGAGCAAGCTCAGGTGAGCTAAAAAGTAGCTCTTAATTTGAATTTTATGAGTTTTTGTTCTTTATTTAACTACGGAATGAAGCTCATAAATATCATATGTTTGCTCGGACAGACAGACGGACAGACAGAGAAGTGATCCCTATATGTTGCCACTACTCCGTAGAGGCGACACAAAAAACATAGTCATCTTCAAATAACAGGTTTTTGCTTTAAACTTTCTTCAGGCATTACATTATTCATTTTATAAATTGATATTTAAATTGTCTTTTTGCTAAATGTATTACTAAAACTTATATAAACTTGAGTAATTGTAAATGTTCCAATATCTTATAGAAGATAGGATTCATCTGATCAATTTATCTTCAGTGAAGTATATTCATTTTGTAAAACAATCAAAATTTCTTCTGAAAATATGCAAGAGACCCACATTTTTTCTTTTTTTATAAAAATTACGTCAAATTACCAAAGTCATGTTTATAATCTATTACTGGCAGTCTAGCCAAGTGATTAAGGTGTCAGACCAGTAATCTAAAGACTGCTGGCACCCGTAGGTTCAAACCCTGTCAGGGGCAAGCTGTTGTTTCTTTTTGCTAGAAACTTTACTCTAACTCACTGCTTAGTACTAGCTGGTTCCAGGAACAGATACAGAGAATGTTCAATAAGCTCATAGCTTCCAACACAAGTCAGATTAAAACAAATTTGTACAAGCTAAACTAACTTTAAAAATACAGAGCATATTACATAGATCCCAATAACCTAATTTACCAAATACCAGAGTTTTCTATGCTATAACCATCCAGATCATTTTTAATAATATCTAGGGGAGAGAAAGGCAATTACCTTCGCAGTGTCCTTTCTTGTCTGATCGGGAGAACTGGAGTAAAGTGAGCCTAAAATCTTCATGGCTTCGTAATTGTTCGACTGGGCTTTTAGTACTTTCTCAAAACATTGTGAAGCCTGCAAGACATAAACAAGAAAATATTTAATTAAAATGGACAGATTAAGATCCTGCATGTGTAATTATTTATTTAT